TACAGGTCTAGCGGAAAAAGGGGAAAACACAGAGAGGCGTTAAGAAAACGAACCTCCAAAAATGTAAGCTACATTTTGGGACGCCCCTAAACCGGCGGTATGTACTTAGATATTGAAAGGCAACATATGAAAACTACAAAACTAAAGATGCATCCGGAAAAGCAGCCAAGAAAGTGTCCATGCAAAGACTCTACGGCAGAGGGGAGGAAAATATACATAGAAGAAAGACACCAGCAGTAGAATGCAGCAGCAGATTCGCATGAGCGGCTTCGTCAGGAATCGGGTAATGGCCCTAGGGCCCACTGGTATCTAAGAAGAGGGAAAGAAATACAGAAAAGACGAGAAGAGAAGGAAGAAAGGTCTAGAGGAAAAAATGAAAACACAGAAAGGCGTTAAGAAACCGGAACCTCCAAAAATGTAAGCTACATTTTGGGACGCCCCTAAACCGGTGGTATGTACCTAGACATTGAAAGGCAACATATGAAAACTACAAAACTAAAGATGCATCCGGGAAAAGCAGCCAAGAAAGTGTCCACGCAAAGACTCTACGGTCAAATGGCAACTGAAACAGGAGAGGGGGGAAAATATACATAGAAGAAAGACGCCAGCAGTAGAATGCAGCAGATTCTCATGAGCGGCTCCGTCAGGAAGCGGGTAATGGCCCTAGGGCCCACTGGTATCTAAGAAGACGGAAAGAAATACGGAAAAGAACGGGAAGAGAAGGAAGAAAGGTCTGGAGGAAAAAGGGGAAAACACAGAGATGCGTTAAGAAAACGGAACCTCCAAAAATGTAAGCTACATTTTGGGACGCCCCTAAACCGGTGGTATGTACCTAGACATTGAAAGGCGACGTATGAAAACTACAAAACTAAAGATGCATCCGGGAAAAGCAGCCAAGAAAGTGTCCATATGCAAAGACTCTACGGTCACATGGCAACTGAGAGGGGAGAGGGGAGGAAAATATAAATAGAAGAAAGAAACCAGCAGTAGAATGCAGCAGCAGATTCTCATGAGCGGCTCCGTCAGGAAGCGGGCGTGGGCCCTAGGGCCCACTGGTATGTAAGGAGAAGGAAAGAAATACAGAAAAGAACGGGAAGAGAAGGAAGAAAGGTCTAGAGGAAAAAGGGGAAAACACAGAGAGGCGTTAAGAAAAACGGAACCTCCAAAAATGTAAGCTACATTCTGGGACGCCCCTAAACCGTTGGTATGTACCTAGACATTGAAAGGCAACATATGAAAACTACAAAACTAAAGATGCGTCCGGGAAAAGCAGCCAAGAAAGTGTCCATGCAAAGACTCTACGGCTAAATGGCAACTGAGACAGGAGAGGGAGGAAAAAATATATAGAAGAAAGACGCCAGCAGTAGAATGCAGCAGCAGATTCTCATGCGCGGCTCCGTCAGGAAGCGGGTAATGGCCCTAGGGCCCACTGGTAT